CGATTCTTCTAATGTATCTCTCATTCATTTCAACCGCTGAATATATAAAAGTGTGAAAAGGAAAGAATTTACTAGAAGATACCATAAGAAGAGGAAAGAGTAAAAACTGAAAAATATGTATGTTCTACAGAAAAAGGCAAGAAAACATATGCTTCGACACGTCACAACAGAACGAAAGACTGTGGTATATACGGTGTACCACCCGTCCCGAAGGGGTTAAGAACCACAATTATATTAATCATTTTTCACAAACTAGTCCTAACTCGAATTAGAAATATCTTTTTGACAGTTAGAATCTGAATCAAACATGACTTGAACAATAACAGAACATCGTTGATGCGGCGAACATGAGAGTTTATCACTCTTTCTCTTTAGCGTAGCATGGACATTAATTGGAATCATTATCAGAATCGGATCACTGAATACTTATCATCGCTTCTTTCTGTGTTACAAAATATGAATAACGTTATTTTACATCATAAAACGCTTTGTTTAATAAGTGAGAATCTGTTGCCTTCTTTATTCATCTGTATGGCACATTGCATAAGAGAACTCGCACACAACCTCTCGATCGGATAGTACATCTCCAGTTCATACTTCTCAGCCATAATTATAAACCTCCATCTTCACATCATACTTTTGAAGAATTCTGAAATTACATAAAAATGTACAGTGATGTCAAGTTGACCTTACCTGAAAATTTTCCATGTCACAATTTTGGTATACTTTTGAGTAATAACACAGTTACAATACGAAATTTGATAGAAATAAGTAAAATATAGGTAAACCGTAGTTTTATATCGTGTGTAATGGTTGAAAGTGAAAAGAGAGAAGCCATCCTAGTTCTAGGTGGTGCATTCAATCCTGTGCATACCCAACATATAGCTCTATTAGAAGCAGCAAAAACGGAATTAGAATCAAATGGTAATTTCAAAATTATTGGCGCATATTTAGCTCCTGCTTCCGATAATTATGTAGCTCATAAGTTGAAATCACGAATACCGTTAGAAAAAACACTTAAACTTGAGCATCGCCTTCAATTAGCTAAACTAGCCATTCAACATGGTGAATTTGAATGGATAGCAAAAAGTCCATTTTCAAGCGAATTATTGACGAGACATTATGGATCTGCTTATGAACTCGGAACAAGATTGCAAAATATGTTAACTGAGGACCACAAAGTAGAAATATTAATAATTGCAGGAGGCGATCGAATTGTTAATAAACAAGGTATTGCAAAATGGAGAAAATCGCCATCATCTATTAACGCAAAAACGGTTTGTATTCAACGGCAAAATGACATAAGGACAACAACAACTGTGAAAACTCTTGTGGAAATATGGAATGAGGATTTGAAATTAGGTTTAATACAATCGCCCGATCGTTATTTGATTATAAATACACCTGTTGCACCAGTTAGTTCGACTTTAGTTCGATTCTATATGAATAGATGGCATGCATCGACAAATGAAAGCGAAAAAGAGGAAATTGAACATGAAATTGTCACCGAAAAACGTTTGCTGAACTTCGATGTAATGAAATACCTAAAAGATCATGAGAATGATCTGTACCTTCCACCAGAAATAAAATGATTATGTACCATAAATTTTTCACAGATTTACTGAGAAAATATTTTTATTCTGTTCAAGAAGTTAAATATACTGACAAATTAAAAAATTGATAAACAGCGAATGACTCTTTTTTTGTAAATACACCATCAATGACAAGAACAAATAAAAATGTAATGATCTGAAGGAAAAAATAGAACTAAACTAACGGTAATAAAGAAACATATTTGTACCAACAAAAAAATTTAAGTGCAAAAATAATTAACAAAATATCCACTGTTCAATAAAAAGTAACGAACAAACAAAATAGTAACAGTGAGAGTGAGATTTAGAGACTTAGTTTTAAAATATTGAATTGTTCATTCTCTTAAATGAAAAATAGTAATAATTTATCTATCAAAAATAATAAAAAAAAGGAAGCAGGTTTACAAATACTATTTATACAATGAGTATTCTTTAAAAAGAAAGAAAAGAACAAAGACGTATGTACATCATACAAAAAGCTCATGATGAAGCAATTGGTATAAAAAAAAATAGAGAACTATGTTTGAATTTTTTCAAAATTCTGACATGTTCTCTGTAGTATTCTCTTGATTTTGTTCATTTGATTTTTTGTGAGAGTGATGTGATTTTTTTGGAGATGAAGATGAGATTTTTTCACTAGATGTAAATGGAATGCCTGTGACGTTTGATCCGTTTGCTTGATTCAGATCTTTATAAGAATTATATTCAATCAAATGTTCACGAAAACTAGATTGATTTTGAGACGTTTTAACATTATCAGTCAAAGGATTAGCAGGTTTAGATGCAATTTCACCCTAAAAACAATGATAAATGAGGTAGGTGTTGTCTAATTCTGAAATAAAACTACACATACAATAACATCAATAACCCAATCACGAAAGAATGGTAATAATTGATCATCCATGGATGGTAATACAAGTAAACGCTAAAAGAGAGAAAACAATTAACTCAATTTTCAACACATTTTGCTCAAGAGTTCCGTTGCATCAGCCGTCCTAACGATAAATGTTCTTCAATGACTAGCAAGTAATTGAAGAATATCACCTATAAAAAGAAAAGAATAAAAAACCTACAAGTACGTACTTTCATTTCGTCTTTGATACGCGCTTAAAAGTAAAAAGAGATTTTTATTATTTTATATGAGTATTAAATATGCAAAGAAAAACATTATACCTTCTAGAAAATCGTGTATAATATTGTATGAATATTTACTTTCACCAAATACTGGTGTTACTTTGAGAGCTAAATCAGGTAATTCTGGGAAACCAATCCTAAACAAAAACATCAATTACAATAAACTTTTTTTTCGACTTTGTTTACGTACCAGATACGATCACTTGGAGGTGGAGGAATATTGATTGTCATCACACCAGAGAAACTTGTTAATTCAACATTGACCCCAACCTCTGTGCCAGATAGTTTTTCGATCACACCAGCAACCTATATTAAAAAAAATGTCGATTATAAATATCACTGAAAAAAACAAAGATTTCGAAATCCATTTTATCTAATGAAACAATTAGATACGGTTCGCGAATTATCTATCTACCAACAGTCAACGTTGACATAAACAGCCGGTTCATGTCTGTGATATTCATATCATTGTGTGATGAAAAAACGAAATCTTACTGGTTTCAGTGCTGCAAACCGTTGAAAATGTTTGCTTGTTGCAAGTTTTTGCAATAATGTGCCAAGTTTACGTGATGCAACGCTGAAAGAAGAACAAAACACATTTAGTAAAAATATTCTGTGAAGATTTAATTAATAATTACATATTTAATATATATCAGAAGATCAAAAAATGCTATATTTGTTAAGTTTTCTTTCAGTTTTGTCTATACATACTTTTCTGGCACTTCAGGTTCCTTAGCCAAAAGTTTTTGTTGCGCTTGTACATCATCGTTATCAATTTTCTCTTCTAGTTTATGCACTAGTTGTGCTGAACGATGTTGTTGAAACATCGGATCATCATGAGTAGGATTATAATGAAGTAATTTTTGTAAGCGTAATTTTGTTTTGATAGTTATTCTGAAGGTAAATTAAAAAATGAAAACACTTTGAAAATGTTTAATATGGAAATTTGTTCTTACTTAAAACTTCCACGATAAAATAAAAATAGATTAAACCATATTCCTCTTGTATTCCATTGCATTGGTTCAACTTTCAATATGACAGGAAATGTATGACCCAAATCAATCTTTTCAACTTTCAATTCGTCTAATACGGCAATCTACAAGAAAAAAGACAACAGTTAATTGGATAAGAATTTTCTTTCGATTTTTGTGGAAACACGAGAATAATAAGATGATTATTTTTATTTATCTAACTTGGAAATAGTTAACTATCGATACTGAACAAAACACTTACGGCAATTTCTTTTAATTTTAATTCAACTTTTTCTTTTAACAAATCTTTGAATAATGGTTCTTCGAATATATCACAAAATAATCTTCTAGCAAGAAAATTCATTGTTATTGCTGCCTCATCTAAACAATCGCTCGATTTTAATAATAACTCTAACGTTTCTTCTTGTTTTTTGTATTTCTTTTTCATTGATGCTGTACGATGTGTCCCAGTTGCGTCTTTATCACTATCTTTCGTTTTTTTACTGTCTTTACTATCTTTTTCAATATTTTCACGTCTCAATTCTTCGACTTGGACTTTCGCTTGTGCAATATCATTTCGAATATGTTCATTAGTTATTTGTTCACGTAATAAGTCCGTCTGTACTTTATCAGAATTCATTGTGTCGGCATATGGAGGACCAACATTCTCCATTTCTTTCATTTGAACACGTTCATTTAATAACGTACGAGTTTCGGTCGATCGAGCAGCGAATGGTATTGGCATTTCAGCAATAGTCACAGATACACTGTCAGTCGATGATGAAGTCTGAATACCAGGAGCCGATGGAGCACCCATTAATAAGCGGTTTGCTCGTTCAATTTCATCTTTTCCTACAACAACAACAATCATCTCATTCTGTGGCATTCCAACATATATTAGATTTTTAGAATATTTTTATCAATGAGTAAGACCGGCATCTCCATTTCGAGATATATAAAGGTAAAAAATTTATAAGAGATGATAAAATGAAAGCTAAGTCTATGTCAAATGTGGCATAATGTTTATACTTTACTCTATGACTACTTTCCTCTCATTCGCAGAATTATGGCACTGAATCGGAAGTAAAAACGTATTTTAATGTTTATTTACCTTTTCGTATAACCAATGATAATTTATGAAACCAATCTTCTTTTTCTGGTCCAGTTTCGAAAAATATCGATAATGTTGTTGATGGATTATCAAAAAAATCATCTGTATCAAATTTTGATTTTTCTAAATTTTGTTTACTAAATATTTGTTTATCTAATATTTGTAAATTTTGTACGACGATTGGATATTCACATAGCCAATATTTTATACGTGTTAGCGTTGCTTCTGGTACAAGAATTAAATTGGCTTCTAGAAAAATAAATGGAAAAATGACTATTGGATAAGATTTCACTATCAGAAAGAAACATCATGTCATCCAGATTTTTAGTGTGAAACTGCCTCTCTTTCTCTCTGTTTGTTACATGCCATTTTAGTCTCTCAGGTGAGATTTTTATCCGTCTCACATCAGATATTTAACACCTGTCTTAGATGATTTTTTAGGTGTCTCATTTGGCTGACTGGCATTTTAATCCATCTTATTTTACCTTTAATCAGATATTCTCTATAACCAACAAATTTGATTTCTTTCTCTTTCTTTTCTGATTCAGCAATTGCCTTTGTGGGTAGCTGTAAAATAAGACGATATTGTTCTAGACGAATAACACATGGATAACGAACAAATTGATCATCACGATCGACATCATAACGCCCAAATATAATCTCACCACAAGTCTAAAATAACAATAAACGAAAGAAAAAGTAAGAACAACATCACATAATGCGTTACTGTAAAGATTCAATATTGACAAAATAAACCTTAGAATAAAATTAATATAAAATAGAGACGGATACATAGTGTCTTTTTTTAACATACTTTCATACATATATGTTTTGTTGAAAAAAACTGTAGTAAAAACGGTCTATTAGTATGTCCAGAGATATTAAAAAGTATATGAAGAATAAATAGTTTCCAGATATTCGAATAAGGTTCAGTTCAACATCTCGACTATGAGAGAGACAACATGATAATACATACATGAAGAGATGTGGATTTGTCTTCTTTCGCTGCTTTTTCTGATAAAATTTGTTCTAATTCGGGAAAATCAATCCATTCATGCACAATACTTTCATCCGCTTTAGCATTCATGTACATTTCAATTAATATAATACAAATAGCGGCAGCAAACATAAAGCCGATGGTAAAACCGCTGAAAAATGATGATATTGGTTTCCATAATGTAATTATTAATGATATTACACCAACAATAATCTAAACAAAAAGATGAAAACATGTTTCTTTTAAACAAAGTTTAAGGAATTTGTGAAAGAATGGCAAAGAGCTGACTATCGTTAAAATATACGTTTATGTCATGTCAAATTAAGTGCAATTCGGTTAATCGCTGAATTTCGCCGCAAACTTTTTACAAACACTTCTTAAGTGATACCTGATTGAGAATTAGAAGCGAAAGAATTACACTATTCTAACCGATATTCGCATAATTGTGTCTCTTTTTAATTGATTTTCTGGTTCAACGGTATGATTTCTAAATTTTGGTCCGCTTAACAGCATTGTTGGTTTTCTCGCGGTCATTTTATCTACATGTACGGTTGTTGGTTTAGCCGTCATTTCTCGTGGATCGATTCTATTAATATGATCTTCACTTGCAGTTTCACTTGTTGCACGTGCTCGACTAAACATTTCTTGCCGTACAGAAGACACCATCATATCTTTAGCTTGCGCACTATTTTCTGTTGATAATAGATCGTGTAATAAACGATATGAATCTGAGCGAATAAACGATGTGGTAGCAGCGGCAGCGGCAGCACTCAACGTTGTGACGCCACCTCTACCAAATACCATCGCAAGTGATGATATTGAATGTTGACGATCTGCAACAGCCAGATGTGCTGGACCTCCTGTGGTACCTGAAAGTGCACTACCATCATCATCTTTAAGGATTTGAGAAAAAAACAAAAGCGAAAGTTAATGACAACTATCATCATGGATGTTTTACTATATAGAAAACGACAGATATTCTGGTTTTACAGGCATAAACGTAGATAAATGGATAAGTGTAATATTTCAGTAGAAAATGAAGCGAGTTTCAATTGTTTAACAAGAAGAAACTTATAGTTTATAGTCATACACTGCGTAATCTCAACCCTTTTCGGAAGTATTAAACTCATCCTCTTTTTAATATGCAACACAAGGGATTTAGCCACGCTACATTAATCTAATGCACAGCCGATGAGAAAAAAATTGTCTATCTTCTGAAATAACCACGCATGGGATTACAATCTTTAACACGTATTCGAGCAGGTGGTAAGCGGCCGCTTGTATAAAACACGAGACCTGAATTTCAACTGTGACCATGCGGGGAGATTTTGAGTATAAAGAATACGAGCTATCATCAACATAGACAGAAAAAGTACACTGGTCTAGTAAAAAAAAGTAGCTTCCATCTAAAAACAAGAATCCCTTCTTTATTATATGACTTCAGCGGCTCTTCTGAAAACATAATAGCAAGCTCAATAGATGGAGTATCATGGGATCAGTAAAAGATGATATAGTCAAAAATTGAAGAGTTTTACGGGTTAAAATCCTCAGCAATACTAATTCCATGTTATTACCTGCTCTATGTTTTTCTCAAAAGTTGAACAATAATCATAGAAAAAAATAACTTTTTATTCGTGTCACTTTATTTTTATCTTACTATGGTGTAACTATTAAGTGCTTTTAGTTTCTTATACTTCTTTCTTACCAGGGTTCTTTTGATGAACTATTGTTGCTGCTGTTGCTGATAATAAGGGAGATGGATCTTTTTTTTCAATAACAACTGTGTCACTTTCCATATTCGTTCTCATAATAAAACTATTGCTACTATTACTTTGAGAATGTTTTATTGTTTCAACTTTATCGGCAATATCATCTTTGAGGCTAGAAAGTTTTTGTCCTAGTTTGTTAAAAACAGTTGGCTTTTTCTGATCTGTCATTGGTGTTGCAGCAAAATCGGTTTCAGTAACAGATGTTTTGCTTTTTGTGTGATGTGAACGACGATGACGATGGTGATGATCAGTCTAGAAAAAAATAAGAAAGAAACACAAAAATAAACTCATTCATCTCTATATCTATATATAGAGATACATATTATAGTACGAACGACAGAATATATAAGACTGGGAGGACAAATAGGGAATTAGTTGCATACACATACATCTTTTTTGATAACAATGGCATCAGTGCTAGATACTTATAAAAAAGAACGAAAGCCGATTACTTAAAGCTTGAACAAAAACACTCCAGTGATTGAATAAATTATTTTATTTGCATTAATATTGTACAATATTTGTGTGCATCTACGTGCTACATGTGTTTCTGATCAAACAAATCTACTCTTTCTAAGATATTTCTTACTCATCATATGGCCACAGATTCAGTTTTCTGACACATACTATAGATGCGTGTTCTATTTTTTGCCTCATCGTTTTTCGAAATGTAAGAATAAACTAAAAACGTTTTTCTGTAATAATGAAAGTACGGTGAAACATACATTATATGCAGATATATTGTTTATTTTCAAGACTGAAGAAAACATATGATTAAATCTATTCTTTTTCAAGTTGAAAATAGGTACAATCACCTCAGGCAGAATACTATCCAATCAAAAAATAATTTACAATTCGTACCTGCTTAAACTTAATATCTTTTAATTAAACTCGCGATTGTCCGACGTTCGATTGCTCGGCGAATATACCATTGATGAAGCTCACCGTATTGAGGAAAAAATTGTGAAGTCTTGCTACAGAACGTTTCAGAAAACCGCGTGGATGACAGACTATGTTATATCAACACACATAGAGACGACGATAACAATGGAATGTTCAAAGTGATCAACAACCAAATAAAAACAAAGCAGAGTAAAAGCAGGTAAAATTATTAGGAAAATTATTAGGATTAGACAACAAATACAATAAGAGAATAGGATTTGAATCTAGGTTATCAAAAGACTTAACAGAAAACTGTTCATAGACATCTGCGTATTAGAATGATTATCACTTTGATATCATACTTGAATATTGTAATTGAGTAAGAGGTAAAGTATAATTAATAAAAGTGAGATAAAAATCTTTCGATAGTATCATTTTCATACGAGTCACGAATAAAAACAGAAAAGATCTTTTTCCTGATTTTACCAATATTCATTCATTCATAAATAGATAAAACAATAATTTTAGTTAACGATATAATTGTGCACTCCAAAAACAGATAAGATAGCGTGTGATAAATTATATTTAGAGGCAAGTACATTTCTCTCTATTTGTTCAGGAAGCGAAATCACATAGAAGTGCAGAAAGAAGCAATTGTTTAATACAACCCAAGATGTAAACATTGAAGAGGATCGAACTTGTGTGAGAAAACAATGGATTAACGAAATAAGAATAACATGTATCGAATGGAATATAATGAAGGAAAGGCAACGAAAGGCAACAATTCTGCGATACGGTTGCACAATCGATTAGCACACATAAGTCATAGCAAAACATAAGTCACATTGAATTAGTAGATTATATGTGCTTTTGGAAAGTTAAGTGCTACAAGACACATTCTATGTTGATTTTTCTATCTGCAAATGATTATACTCCTGTTTACTTTACTAAACAATGATCGTAACCGCTTCATGTTGCACGTCTTTAGTTGGTTTTGATGTTTCAGTTCTAATGTGGAAATTTTTATTGTAATGTTATTTTTTGTATTTTAGCATCGTTTACTAAATTAATAAAATAAGCATATTTTCTATTAGTTGATTGTACAAGTTGAAATAAAAATGAAAATAAATGCAAATGAGGCGGCAAATAATACAAATAAATTCATTAAATCTACAATTACAAACACGAAAAAAACACTCGGATTAAAAGAAAAATGGTTCAATATATTTAATTTGATTTTGATTAGTTTTTTTCTTGAATTTGACTAATTAATTTGATTTGAATATTTATAATCGGGAGCATCGGGACATTATTTTTTTGTTAGCCAATTATTCCTATAAGCACATATACACTATAGATGTCACCATAACTCATGAATGATAACGTAAGTCAACGATGCCGGCAACACTGCACAGAAATATTAAAACTCTGTTGTAAAAACGACTTGACTCTCACATATCTGCGCACCAGATGAAATTTTACGTAAAACTGCAGTTTATGATTATATCAATAGAAAGAAAATAATAAAGTTCGTGCCATATAGATAAGAGTGGCCTCTTTTGTATTCAGCACAGTCGATTATAATATCTCTGATTTTCTATTTTTGACATGACGCATTGTGTAAAGTTGGAGAAATTTTTCGAACGAATTGCCAAGAGAGATGAAAAATAATATTTGCTTAAAAAATCCGCACCCTCCCACTTTTAAAAACTGATAGTTTTTCTCCAGCAGATATGATTTGGTTATTTTGGGTTTTAAAGACTGATTCTCCTTTAGACCTTGCCGAAAGGTCTGCACATATGTACTCTGCAAGAGTATTTGAAAAATTTGCTAGGTGCACTAATTTGTTTTTTCATCGCCACACCCTGCATAGCAAATTGACAAATGTCACATGTCATAATCGCATACGCACACAAAGTTTAGTCAGTATACATTAGACACATATTTAATAAAAACAATAAATTACGTTTAAAATTATACTGACTTCATCCTTGTATAAGATAAGCGTTAAGTGGACGTAAAAACGGACTGGATACAAACTCTTCAGTCCAAGTCAAGTTCAAGTCTGTCATCAAATACTTCAAGTCCGGAGATAGACTTGTCCTCTTCTGTCACAGTGTAGTACCACATAGGGTAATTTTTGAATAACTCAATAATAAAAACTTACGGTTTTCAAAGACAAGATAGCAATAACGGGTGGGGCAAGAGTTCTGCATTCATTTTTGTGTTTGATATAGCGCGCTATGGAATATCGTAGAGACTTTATCGTTTTCTGCTAGAACGAGCAGTGTCTAGTAGAGACATATATAAAAGCGTTTGATAAGGGATGTTTCTCGAAGGCCACACAGATCTTAGAACAAAAGTCATCAGGAAACTGTTCCGAGCAATGCAAGGTGAGCTGAAACCCATCATGCTCGAGTTTGGTCTTAGGCCTGAGCTTTGGTAGTACTAAAAAAGCAGCAATGGTCTAACAAAGTGTTGAATTCCTAGTCTATCGAGATCCAGAGGATATCTTCAACCGTTATTGTCTGATCTCTTTCGATACACAACGAAACCAATCAGCTTCATTAACACACTTTCGCCTGTAACCGAAAACATTCAATTCAACGCTTGAACATCCGGGAGACGAAACTGACCCAAAACAGGTTTTGTTAATACATTTTATTACGAGTAGCTCTCCCTATCACATCCTGTAGTCTAAAGTTGATTTCAGGATCTTCTACAAGTTCGCAGAGATCCTGAAGATTTTGATAGAACATCTTTTTCAATAGAAGCGATTTTAGAACTGTATAAAGTGTGTTTCCAGTCTAGTTACTTACTAGGCGTCGTTGGAAGAGGACATATATGCGGGCTGGTCATTGACAAAGGATAGTACTTGGGGCGAAGATGACATCGAGAATATTTATCATATCGTGTTCGCCTGGACATCGGTCAAGTTACCACCTGCCTTACATGGAGTCAACTGAGAGCAGATCGCCTATGGAAAGGCGCACACTCCGCCGCTCTGCTGACTGGCTCCTCCGAGAAAGGGAAGACAAACGTATTCGCTATTCGACGAGCAACGATCGTTATTTTGGATTGCGAGTTCGGAACAAGTTTGTTGAGCGTCAACCCCCAAATTCGAGAGTATTGAAATAAGGATCCAACAAACAACTGCCAACACTATGTCGAATCGTGACATTGTTGACTCCGCTTTGTTCAGCAGCAAACCCTAGTGAAGCTTTTTTTCTCAAGCACCTGAGCAAGCACATACCTCAAGATTTGTCTCCATGCACATGAATTTCTTACTCATGCAAAACGCTTGAGGTATATGCTTGACTTTCTTGTCTCATGCGCTTGAGTTGCATGAAGTATGCGCATGAGAGAAGAAATATCTAAAACAATGTGCATACCTCAAGAAACTCAAGCACATATCTCAAGAAAGGCCTGTGCATATCTCACGAAACTCATGTGCATACCTTAAGAAAGTCATGCATTATCGATTTTCCGCGCATAGTTCTAGCTTCGTTTTTAGACTTGATTACACCATATTTCACTCGGACTTTTCTTCCAGAATATGATGCAATCAGTTTTCTAGTATTTCTCGACCATCTGGCACTCTCACTATGCCATAATCTTTATCTACCAAGGAAAATAAGTCGTTTCCAATGGTAAGTTCATGACAGTTCAAAGCGAGTATACAGCAATTTTGACTTTCTACCATTCACTGGACCCTCCAAAATCTTCATGTTATCTTTTGTTACACTGCTGAATATAATTTTCCGATAGTCTGTAATGTGTTTGTTTGAGAAAAATGTTCCTTTCAGATTGACTAAGTTCGCTCCGCGTTGTATTTCTCAGTTTTGGTTCGACATGTGATTGCAATTTGATCTCAAAATAAAAGTGAGAAAGGTTGATGCAGAGTTGGAACCGAATCGGTAAATCAAGATCGGGTCGGCCGATCCGATTAAACTTTTCAATCGGCCGTTTTTTTTACCGATTTATCTTTATAAAACTTTTTTAGGGTTTCCCTTCTTTTCAAATCACTTTTTCAGCAAAAAGAATTTCAAAAAAAAATTTGCTTTTTTTCGTATAAATTTCAATAGCAGAAACAAAACTGACTTTTACTTTCCCCTAATAACACCTATAGTTTTAAGAAGGATTTGAAGGAAAATTCAGCTATGCATTCAACGAGTAATTAGGCGTATACATGTATTTATGAACACATAGTAATTAATTACGACTTATTCATTTTTCTTTATTTTTTCTGCTTTGTCCACAAAATAGTATAAAGAAATATATCGGTCAGAACTGTTCGTGTTGCGAAAGTGTGTATATGAGTATTGTCAGAATAAGTAAAAGTTGTAAACAAAGAAGCTCATCGGACTCACACCAAGCTTTTCGATGTCGACTTGGAAGTTTTGACACATTTCGAAGCTTGCTGTCGACAAGTGCCTATATATTTCCATCTCTTGAAAGATGGTTACAAGGACACACTGTGTGTTTTAGTGGCATAGACCACTGAAAAACAAATATCATTAGAAAAATAATCAAACTTCTTTAGACCGGTTTTTACCGATTTAGAAAAACTTTTTAATCGGCCGTTAACGGCCGATCCGATCCGACGTAGCTTTCCAACCGGCCGATCCGATTGCGTTTTTCTCAAACGGTTCCAACTCTGGGTTGATGTCTTTTAAGGTCCGTCTGTGAGTTTTACCGATAAGGTAACATTTACCGTATGTGAAGAAAACATTCAGGCTTGGACTTTTAGAGAAGCGTATCCATAAATACTAGACGCTAATATCAGTTCGTTGCTAGAGCCAATCTAGCACCCTGTGAATGAGGCAGTATAGCTTGGCATCCAATTCTCTTGCATCAAGCAGGACCAAACGGGTACCTGCTACATCCTGGAAACCTCCAGCGGCAAAGCGATCTTACACCGAGGAAACTCACAATTGTAATGATAAACATCAACCATTTGGTGCATGTCTCACTTTTGTGCATTTTTATTTGAAGATCTTGCACAGTCAATATTTTTAACTGAGTCTGCACAACGGGGAAAGGACCTTAGATTCGGTACCTTATCTGAGACGAAAGATCTTCCATAACTGTTAATGAGAAAGATAGTTCAGTTTTGTGACAGAAAAAACGCAGGACGATTTAACTCTCTCTTTCTTCATCTCAAATTGCTGTGTACTTACTTCGAAGTTAAAGGTTCAAATTATTTAACTTTTTATCCTTTTTTATGACAAATCAATAACAAAACGCAGGTTAAAACATGCAAAAAATGCGAGTACAAATGGTCGTCATCCTCACAGTACTTTAAAAAAAGAAGAAACGACTGTGTAGACAATGCGCATTATTAGTTCTATCGTAGAGCGTAAACTCGTCTTTTTCTTGCAGAATCTGTATGTCAGACATATGTGCATCTTGTCGTATAGTATGTGAGATAAAGAATTTACGGTCTACGACAGGCTGGCCAGATCTTCTGATTTTTCAGAAATTTTCTGATTTTGAACACTTTTTCTGATGGCTTTCTGGTTTCTGATTTTCCTGATTTTCGTTTCTTCTGTTTCAAACGTGCTAGTTCGTTCTCATATGAATGCCCGAATTATTACTATTGATACGACATTATCCACATGATATCTATCTACATAAAACGATAATACAGTTCAATAAAAGGGCTGATAAATTATATGTTGAACGAAACATGTTTGTCTAGTTGCCGCATTAAATCCACTTTCTGATTTTGATAGGGAAATTTTCTGATTTTCCAATTTTTTTTTCTGATTTTGAATTTTTTCATCTGGCCACCCTGGTCTACGATAAAACTCTAATGTATATATGATGTCCACATGTCTGCTCGATACACAGGCACGTCCAGTCTATTTCTATATATTCATTTATTAGGGAATCTAGCAAATAAGGAGTTATCTCTTTGCACATAAGATATCCCGTGTGCGGCACAATTTTTCCTCTCATCGCGTCAATAGAAAAGAAAGAGAACAGAAAGATATGCATGTGCGAAAAGAGATATCCCCTTATTTACTAATTCTCTATTGAAAGAACGAAATCAAAATTTCCAATTTCATTGGTCAAAGCAGATCGAAAAGACAAGACAGAGAAAAGTTTGATCCAAGAAAGTCAAGCGCATGAGATATTCAAGCGCTTGAGATAAGAATCTCATGCGCATGAGTTTCTTGAGATATGAAGCTCAAGCACATGACATCGGAAAAAATGCGTTTTTGCATGAGTAAGAAATGTCTCCATGCCATGAGATTCTTGCTCAAGAGATTCAAGAAAGTCATGTGCTTGAGAAAAAAAGCTTCACTAGGGAAAGCTCTAAACTGAGGTCTATTTGAATCAAGTATGATGATGCACGGACTGATTAATTGTAATTTAATGGCGATTAAATCAAGTTCATGTCTGATTAGTTATAAAAGTTTCAAGTCTGAGCGACGAAACTGAAGGAAAGATGCACGAAATACCAAGAGTTTTATTCGTTATGGCTCACTCGGTACATCTGTTATGAGACCAAGTCATCTGTGAGAGCAAACAAGTTGAATCTTCAATGCCCATTTTGAACATTGAACGACGAAGGTTGATTGCCAGAATACAATGTCGATATTTCATGTAACGAGAAAAAAGTGGCGACCTAGAAAATAGCAGATATCCATGTAAAAGATGCCGCAAGTAACTCGCATGATCAGAGGAATTGAAGGGAATCACCTTTTCTCTCAAGCGTAGATGAGAAAAGGGTATCAACTCATTTCACAAATCTTTTGTCAAGAAACATCATTATATTCTCCGCTGAAGATAAGAGGAAAAACCAAGAAGGAAAAATGTAAGTAATGCGGGGGTCAATTGTTGTTTCAACGTAATTCTGTTGTTCCGGGAATCGGTAAGACGATATGAGTGAGAAACTTAGTCATGATTGTGGAAGTAAGGTGAGAAAATGTTGGCTAACTTTATAGGAAGCAGTTGTAACGCCATATCATGTTGCCAATCAACATAGACAAACATCATATAACAACAACACAGACAAACACAATATAACAACAACATAATATTACCTTCAATTCAGTTTCATTGCAACACATTACAAAAATGCCACGACGAGTTGACGGAAGTGAAATGATGGCGTTTGTTATTATCCTTGTCGTCATTCTTCCTTGGGCGGAGACGATTCAGTTGCGTGGAGCAAACGGTGATGGACCACCTCCGCTGCCCTACAACCCGAATGATTTGTACATACCTCAAGTGATGAATACGGCTCTGCATGGTTTACACAAGTGCTTCGATTGTCAAAATATTGCGGTCGTCGGAGCCGGTGAGCACAGTATCTTTTTGGAGAAGTTCGAACGGGTTTAGTTTAGTCATCAGATGAACGAAGTATTCCTCGCCCTTCTCGTGTTAAATCTATGTGGAAAAAATTGTCAGTGCTCTCAAATACACAGAGGGAATCACACGCCCATTCAACAAAAAACAGGATAATGAGCGGCGCATTTTCGTCATTTTACTTACACTTTTTTCTCGATCAGTCACTGAAATACAACCCTCAACCTCCTGAGCGAGCATCTTCGTTCTCTTAACAGATCTTGAAAATTGAACGGTCATCAGACACAAAAACGACGTTCAGTCTGTACGGTGATTCATAAAGTGTTTTAGACATCACACCAACAATTAAACGGAAAATGGAGCCCGTATTCTTGATGCCGAAACTGTTTTAGTGTAGGATACCAAGAGAAACTGACTTACTAAACGAAGCCTGGAATGTTGATTTTTGGAGTGACAGAAAATATGCTAAGATAAACCGTTGAGGAATGGAGAAATTCAATTAAAATAGATTCGACAGACATCGACGGAAACAATCCCAGACCGAGGATTCCGAAGACGAGTTCCTGAAAGATTCAATCGAATTCGACGTCGGAACATGCTGAAATCCGACAAAATCTGGTACAATCCTGCCGGAACCGTACCGTATTATGTCGGAATTCTGGCGCCCGGATTTTGTGCCGGAAGATATCGGTAATGATCCGACCGGATCCTTCGAGTTTCACACATCAAATTTCGCTGGACTTGGCAGAATGCCACCGGTTTTCAGGTGTGTGAAGGCTAAAAACAGGCTTAGATTTTTTATTTTCTATTCTTTTTCGCTCATTTTCTAGTGACTCCTGTCTCTGAGCATCCGAGAGTATAAGAGCCCACTAGTTATGGCGTGTACAACACGTCTGTTGATCATTGTGAGCGATGACACACACTGACTCACACTGTTAAGAATTTGAGAAGAAATTTTTCTTGGTTTTCATTTTCTGCAATATCATATTTAAAGCAATACTGTCGCGAAACAAAATGGTAAACAAATTATGCGCACAGAAAATAAAGAAAAAAAAATAAAGAAGTGCGCACCACAGGATCTGTCGATTTGTGGTCACTGGAAATTAACGGATCCGACTGATTCCGGATATCGGATTCGATCTCAGATATCGGGAAGCGATAGAATTGAGTGGATTCTGGTCTCGGCATCCGATCGGCTGTCCGAACTACGAAAATCATCAGAATTAAAAAACGTATCCTACAGGATCCGATAGGACGAATTCGGCCTGGGATGCGATCATTTTCGTTCTTGACATCTTCGCCAGTTCGAGTTGATTGACTTGTACTGTTTATTAGGTGTGTCGGGCTTGATCAATGCTATCGAGCTGTCACTGGCCGGTCATACTGTTACCGTGTACGAAGCGAGCGATCGACTTGGAGGTCGCATTTTAACACACCGTGTTCGGGATAAAGGCTATATAACCGAGTTGGGCGCCATGCGCCTGCCGCTTGATCAACATCGTCTTACGAATGTATATGTCACTCAACGATACAAGCTCAAAGTGTCACCTTTTCTTGGATATGATGCCAATGCTCTTTTTTACGTCAATGATCATCGAGGAACATTCAACCAAAGAGTTCTGCCGGAGAATGTAGGATTTGAGGTGTACGACATAGAGAGGAACAAGGTAAGATTTTTTTCTCTTATAACACGTTTGTTTTGATTACATTTTTTTTACGCAACGAAAAATTGTCTCACATCTTTTTCTTAACCATTCATAAAAGTCAGTGTCATAAGGAGATTCCATGAATAGTCAAGATTTCAACATCTGATTGCATATTCGATTAATAATACAAAACTTGACCATTCCTGACCAACAAGTGCGCCGAGCCTTTAGAGACAAACAGCTAAAAGGATTTTTCAAAAATCCTTTACAATTTTTCCTCTACTTTTTTCGGGAATTTCGACACAAATTGAAACTTCATACGACTCAGTTTTTCAAAAGATGCTTTGGAACAAGTTACTAGAACTATTTCGATCAAAATTCGAATTTTTTAATCGAGTCAACACTAAAATTGAAGAAATAAGTCTACTCTTAAGGTTCTTATACATTGTTCGAAATTTCCTTCTCTCTCAAAATTCCGTATGAAACTTAAAGATATAATATTAAACGCTGAATAGTCGCCTTGACCAGAAAATTCCGTGACCGATCGTGACCATTTCTGGTCACGGCGAATATTCAGCGTTTAATATTATATCTTTAAGTTTCATACGGGATTTTGAGAGAAGGAAATTCTGAACAATATGTAAGGATAGAATTATTTCTTCAATTTCGCAATCAAAAGTTAGAATAAAAAACTTTTAACTTTTTCGGTCACGACTGTGATTGATCTTACGATCTCTACTGAACATCACATATCAGGTCTAATAAATCTAATTCTCCACAATCGTTACGTTTCTGGCCGAGTTCGAATAACGGCATCGAACTTATCTTCCTTGATGTTTCATTTTAGACTGCGGGACAGTTGTGGGATGACGCAATGTATTCAGTAAAATACAGTAGTTATGACGAACTCAAGGCTAAATACGACAAATATAGTATTCAATCCTATTTTATTGAACACGAGAACATGTCTCGTGGTGCGATTGATTTTGTTTCGGTCATGTTCAATGTTGACATGCAGACAAGTCTGATTGAAATGGTACGAAGTACCTTGATTTTGCCCCTTAGTCCAAACTACTCGCAAATCGATGGCGGTTTTGATTTGTTGATCGATGCCTTTGAACGTGCTTGCAATGATGTGCCTGATGGACGTTGCAAAATTCATACAAACAGACCAGTGAAAGAAGTTCACTACGAGGAGGATATCGCCAATCCTACGTCTCGTCCTTGGGTGCGCTTGACAATAGGTGGAATCTCAAATATGATGCGATATGATTCGCTCATTGTAACTACGACTGCACGAGCAGCCAATCTCATCGACTTCGTGCCAAGAGCATTGTTCGTCGACAAATATCGCGCTTTTCGCCAATTGCACTATGATTGTGCGACTAAAATTGTTCACTCGTTCAGTCGTCAGTTTTGGCGAGACGAAGGCATTCAAGGTGGCTCATCGATTACCGACTTACCAGTGCGATTCGTTTTTTATAATAATTTCAATACGACCGCCGATTCGGTCAGAGATGGGGCATTTATAATTACTTCGTACGCATGGTCGACAGATGCATTGCTATGGTCCGCAATGACTGACGAGCAGGCATGCGAGAAGGCTCTCCAAAATCTCAATGATCTTCACAAAGGAGTCGACATTCGGCCGTTACGTACGAGTTGTGAAGTGAAAAATTGGTGCACGGACCAATATGCACTCGGTGCGTATGCTCTATTTACCACTTATCAAGAGACAAATATACATGATGAACTCGGAAAGTCTGTTAAGAACACAGTGCATTTTACCGGAGAACATACCAGTCTCAATCACCGATGGATCGAGGGCGCCGTACAGTCATCCCTGCGTCTTCTCATGCACATGCAGGTAAGTGTTATCAAAAAACGTTCGTTTCTCAAAGTGACTTTGACGAAATGCAGCTTTGACATTGGATATCTTTTAGATCTATCGCTGTCATCAGATATTTCTTCACTATCAAACTAACTCATTTTCAGAGTTTTCTAAAAATCCATGAACCAAAAACTCGGTTCAATTAAAAAACGAAAACTCAAACATTGAAAAACGTTCTTCTTCCTTTACCTTTTTTCTTTCCAAAACACAAATGAAACCTCTAACATCTAAAACGTTCGAATTTTACTAGCAGATGGTATTTAGTGAGTCTTATTTGAGAATTTTATTACAAGGCAGATGCAAATTCGGATTCGAATAATTAAAAACTGACAAGCCTGACGCAACTCTCTGTCCGATGGGATGGCGTTCAATTTTGAGATCGTTTGTACCCAAAAGTCGAGTCAGATGAAGAGACTTGGAAAAAATGAACGTCAGTCAAGTGAAAAGATAGATACTCATCTCACTCGGTTTATTTACGCTGAATTCAAATATGTTCTTATTTTTCAATAGTTCTGTAAACGTAAACTAAGAAACCAATTTCTACTCAAGTTTGAATTGTTTTAAAATAGAGGGGCTTTCAAGAAAAAAAAGTGGCTTTTTGGTTTTTGGTCTTATCCGGAAAAGCTTTTTTTAACACACATTCCGAAATCTCGTTTAAAAGTGATTCGAATACTGTCTTGTATATTAATTTTTCGTTGAAACGCAGCTAAAATGAGAGTAAAATTTCTACACTGAGATTTTTTTGCGAAAATCCTTGCAAAAACATATAAAATCGCATTGCAAGCATATAAAATCCTTTAAAAGTTCTGAAACATTCTGTTTCACAGTGGTTTATTTTGTGTTTGCATTTCGGCTACGAAGTTAGATCTTGAAATCTAAAGTTGTTCGCATATCCAACCTTGCTTTGGGGGGGGGGGGGGGGGGGGGGGGGGGGGGGGGGGGGGGGGGGGGGGGG